TGTGTACCTTGCTGCTAACTTCAGCTAAGAAGGACGTCGATTGTGCCGAAATTGCCTGTTAAGAAATATTCTTCAAAAATTGCCAAACAGCGTAGTGAATTTTCAAAAGAATATTAGTTTTTTTCGGTTCAACCGCTTCCGTCATTTCATTTGTGTATGTAAATCTCGATTATTATAAATAAGCAAAAAATTGCTTATAAGACATGGTTATTTTCAACTCCTCCCATTCGTGTATCATTTCAAAAATAGCAAATATATGATCCCAGATTGTATAAGACTGTTGAAAAGATTAAGAGAAACGTTTGGTTGTCTTCTATTGAAACTTATATTTATTTTAGTGTCTTTTATACGTTGTACACGTGGACCTCGCCTCGCTTCGAATCGGATTTGAAAGGCGGTACACAACAACAAAACAATTGTACGTGGCCACCGCACCTCGTCCCGGTTCGCGTCCATTGTGTCGCTAATTTCCACCATATTCAATTGAGAGACTGGAATAAAAATCCATTTGGTGTTTAGAGAAAAGACATGTGTTTGTCTGATTTAAAATTTTATCGTACAGAAATAAATTTGTAAAATGGATATGTATCTATCACAAACTCTAATTTAACATATTTTTCGGTATTGTTTAAAACCTACAAATGAAGTGATTCTTAAGTATATAATTTTAATACTCGCTACCTATTCTGATCTTTAGGTAAGTTTAATTATATAAGATTACACTTTGACCGATTTACGTAAAATACCGTCGGCCTTTCTCATGTTCGTTTTGATTGTACACTCTTGTCCTGCCTGCCCTTGTCCTCTTGCCCTTGGAATTTCTCTCCGGTCTTATCTGTTAGTGGCATTCCTCGCGCACTCCACTATTAAGCTGTATGTCTCTAATTTTATAAGGTCAGCCCATCTAATTGGTGACCGACCACGAGGACGTTGAGCCTCTATTCTCCCTTGCAATCGTTCCATTAGGTCCTCGTTTCAGATGATTTTAATATGGATACATTGGTGCGGTGCTGAGGCCAGCTTATCCTCAGTAGTCGTCACCAGCACCGAGTTTCCAGCGCTTTGGTTCTGCCGCGATCTCTTTGGCGAATCGTCTATGTTACCGCTTCATAGAGAAAGATGAGAAAAACTAAGCATCGCATAAGTCGAACTTCATGTAAGATTTAATTGAAACGCGGGCCTAAAGATAGAATTAGTTGTTCGTAAATAAACAAGAAATATATAATTTAATTCAAATTAAAATGTCACGCTGGCCAGAAGGCTTAAGTTGCCAACTTTTCTTAAATGAGGCTACGGGTTTGAAATCTGCCAAGTATTCGATGAAGTACCATCCTGTTCTTGTACTTACAAAAGAAACAATATTGTATCAGGTTTGTTAGTATTTAAGAAATGACTGCTGGTTACGATGACGTATGATAATGGGTGTAGATGGCAAATAAATAGTCTGAGAGTCCTGAATGGTTTTGTTCCTAGATTACTATACGTGTGTTCTGCTTTGAACGCTGTTAAGGAGTACTGGCATTCACGATTTAACTGTAATGGAAAAATCTGTGTATTTCTATGTATGACAGTCCATACGTAACTGTCTTTTACTGCGTTGGGATGTAGCCTCGCTATATATTCTCTATCGCATTTATCACTGGGAGTGTTCTGAGGAATTGTTCGGTTTGATCCCCGCCGCATCTTTTCGTCATCGTTCCACGCGAAAACTTTTTCATCCCCATCACATAGATGATTGGCAGTCAACCTCGTATATGCGTAACTTTCTGCCCCGCACAGCAAAACTTTGGAATGATCTTACGGCGGTATTCCCGAACCGATACGACCTTCAAACCTTCAAGAAACGAGCGTAATCCTTGTAAAAAGGCCGGCAACCCGCACCTGTGACTCCTCTGGTGTTGCAGGTGTCCATGGGTGGCGCCGATCGCTACCCATCAGGTGATCCGTCTGCTCGTTTGCCTCCTATTCCATAAAAAAGCAAATGATGTGTCGGTCAAGAGTTATTTAAGTTGTGTAGTTCTGCGTATATTGTTAGACCATTCGATTTACAAATAGTGTTTTAATTTTACGATTTTTAAAAAGGTGTACATCGACAGGTACAAACAATGTGTTCAGAAGAAATATGCATGTGACATTGTTGACAATATTCGACGCAGAAGGGACGATGGTAATTTAAAAATATACGGACATATCAGTCCCTAGTTGTAGATGCATTGATTGCAGAACTTTTTCTATTAATATACATGATTTGTATGCCGGTACAAATCCAATCCGTAACTGTTAAATTGCTTCCACTGTGTTGTCGAGGATTTTATACAAAAGTTAGATTGACTGGCAACCAGTCAGCCGATATATCGATGTTTTCCATAATACTATGGATATGATAGCTAGACTATTCGTGTATACCAAGTAGATTTGTGTGCCAGTCTTCAGTATTTAGGCGAAGTCCAATATAAATGTAGGGACCAACATGGAAAAAGAAAAAATTGAAGACGTAATTTTTTTTCAAACTGAACTCGTAACGTATATGTATAGCATAGAAAAAACATTAACAGGTTTTATAAATTAGCTATACTTTAATCGTTTGTTGGTTCGAGTAGCATGCTGTCTGGTCAAACGTTATTCAAACTCAAACTCAAACTCAAACTCAAATTTATTTATTGCAAACATAGGTAATAAGTACATAAGACATGATGAAGCATACATAATATAAGTCCGCTATGTTTCGCCTGTCGGCATGCAATTTAGAAATTATTTAATTATTATAAATTAATGTCAAACATTATACTTGTCCAGTTCATAGTCATTTTACATTTATGTTAAGATTTTCTTTTGTCCATAATAGTACCATAGTATTTTGAATAATATATAATTTTATAACAAAAACAAAAAAATACGGATTAAAACAAATAACAATAATACTGTGCATAAATATAATTAAGTAGGTATGGTATGATTCTTTACTAGATGGATTTATCATGTAGATAGTCATCAACACTATAATAGGCCTTGTTTAGCATTATATCTTTAATCTTGCGTTTAAATAAGTCATTATTCTTAATCTCTAGTATGTGCTTTGGTAGGTGATTATAAATTCGTGGTCCCATGCAGAATATACTTTTATTGAACATCAAACACAACAATTTAGAAGCTACTGAAATAATGATTGTATGAGTTTCTATATATTGAACACTTATACACATACATTTTGAGTTAAACGTGCCTTAATATTACCTTAACATTTAAATTAATCTATCTATGCATTTTATTTATTAGTTTAACGGCCATGGTTCTATACTTTGTTTTGTAGGAAATCGTAAACAAATTCAAAAGAAAATGCTTATAGCCACTGTATACCAGGCTAAAGCCGAACGTCATAGATGTTGGGATCTTTGCGCGCTTCAAAGACTTATCAGACCACTAATATGGTCCCACTAAGGGCCGGTGTCCAGCCGGGATTGGGTTGGTTTGTAATCTGTAGTCTAGAGGTCTTTCTTCCAAGCTAAGGCAAATAAATTCATTGGATGAATTCCCCTTTCAATAACGCCTGCTCAATTAATTTAAAAACGATATAACTATCATAATTATGTTAATTCTTTAATTGTGTAAAATAAATTATGTTGATTGCGTCGTTGTACTGAAAATTACGTCAATGAATACTAAAACTGATAGAGTGTGTATGCTTATAATTCCGTTCACTTAGAGATTTCATAACAGTCATCCCTTATTCAAATTCAATGTACTATAACTTACTGTTTTACTCCAGGATGAAAGTGGGTTTATAGTTTGTAAAACAATACAATTTATATCTATTTCATTAATTTTATTACAACCCTTTATTGTAAAATGCAAGAATTTATGACCGCTAATGATGTGAGAAGGGCCGGGTTTGAAAGGCCGGAAGTTTTAAACAAGTTATATAAATATTGTTTTGTAAAGTCATCAACTAAAAAATCACAAAATCAACAGTAACTCTCTCTCACTCTCTTGATAAATGTCAATTGATTTGCTTGTAGCATATACGAGATCTTAAATAAAAACCTATTTACGTTTCATATTTTAAGGTACTAGATCAGTGGTGAAGTTAGAATCGCGTAAAAACATTGATTGCTTGAAATCATTCAAGACCTCGTCTTTATTTTTCATATTTTTCGATTTAAGGACACATGTTTACCGGATCATTAAACTAACATACAAAAATTAATGAATTATTTACTGGAATTGAGGACTTAGATCAGTAGTTTTCCGTTTTTATTTGTCACCTTTTCGATTCCATAAACATATTGTTCTTTTGATTTGAACATCAAGGTAAATGGCGCGTTTAAGTTGATTATTGATTTGACAACAAGCCTTTTTAGAAGTGGCTGTAAGACATCCTCTTGGTGGGGGGCTAAAACTCCACCCACTGCCGGTTGCTAAAATAGGTACGTTTGCCGCTGATACTCATAGAATGTTTTTTTTTCAGGTGAAATTAAATGTCATGGACCTGGGGCTAGATCATGCTGGCTGTGACAACGTGTGCCTCTTGTGAAATATTTCGTAATCCTTGTTCACGTATTGGCCAAAGCGGGGAGAAGACGCCACGTGTGGGCCTGCGTACAACCGGGGGCGGGCGCTTTGCGCCGCCCCACTACTGCATCTGTAAGTGCATCCCTCGTATACAATACGCGCACCCACACTAGCAAACCGTTTCCATGGCGATGTAGTTCACCCAGTCTACCCTTACCTGCCATTTGCGAGCGCCATTATTCAAGCCGCGGCTGAGCTCGGCACCGGACGTCGGAGCTCGCGGCAAAATGTCGCCGCGGACTTTACTTATTCCAAGTTATAGTTCTAACGTTGTAAAAATTCGGTCGGGCTGAAACTGAACATTTTAAATTTTCCGTTTTCTTTTATTTTGTTTTAAGTTATTATATTTTTAATTTATTTTATTTTAGTTTTTTTATAATTTAAAGTAAAAGTATTATTTTTGTGGTGGTGATAAAGACTAATAAAGCAAAATGTGTGTGCAGAATCTGAATAGAATATTGGCTCCTGACAGGTTGGTAAATTATTAAGTTTCACGGCGATTGTAGTTACCTGTTGCGAATTTTATCTTTACTTTTCTTTTGTTCATCTTTTTGTGTGCTATGTTGTTTTATTTTCATTGCAATTTTTTTCTATCATTATTAATTTATTCGTTAATATTTAATACGTGTTTTATTGGCTTGCGCAAAAGTTGGGCATTTTGTAAAACTAGTGTATGAAATCAGCGCCCGGGGTTTTATGTGACGTCAATTAGTGCGTCTCTTGATAGCGGGAAAATAGGTCAAGCTTGGCAACACGGGACCTAGGGGGTGGTTGTGTTGGTACTGTGGGTAGAGGACTCCTCGCTGTAGTTAACTCCTACCCGGGCCTGTCCTATATTTTTAGTTTCACGGATTTCAATTTAAAATGTCATTTCATTTTCAATGATAATTAGAGATGCACAGTTCAAGCTAAGCTTCTACAAATCACTGCGAATTTATTGAAATGCATTACCTTGAGGTTTTTGGGAACGTTTTGTTGGTGTTTTAGCCAAGATAAAAATACAGATGGTTTTAAAAATGCTAGCGTCATTATAATTGCATTTTGTATCGAATTTAAATTTACAATGGTCCGAAACTTATTTTAATAGGGGTATTTGCACTATTTCTTATTTTTATTTCAAATTGTCACTGACCACTTTGTCGAAGAGCTTTTCACACTTTTTTCTCACGATTTTTTTACGTTGCTTTAAGTGTATGTGTTGTTTTTTAATCAGCAAATGACTGGGTTCAATTCCCAGCTTTGCGAAATTCTTGCCTATGTAGTAGATCTTTATAATATTCGCGATTGACGGAAATAACTATCAAGGTTTGATTCCTGTTTTTGTTAATAGTATACTTTGAAGGGCGATGATATTGCAATTTGGGTTACATTTTCATGTTTTTATTCCGCACATATCCTTGTATTTGTCTCCGGAATACGGCTACGGCTCTCTGTTCCCTAAAATATGATGATTAAATCGATCTTAATTTAAGAATACTGCAACGATTTTCTGGGTATGGAAGCCCGTCCTTTTAATAGAGCGTATAATTTATTAATAGTAGGTTTTATTAATAGGGCTTATAAATTGGTTAATATTTTCTGGAATCAATTCCTAGGCAGATAAAATGATTTTACCCGTATGAAACCCGCATTTGTCACCAGTATGTAATTTATATTCCCGATCGGTGAACTTATCTTTTTGGGTTTCATTCCCAGGTCGGTCATATTTATTGCTTACATAAGTAATACAAATACACGGTTACTGCATAAGAGTTACTGGGTTTATTCAGAGCCGGGGTTGCGGGGTAAGAGCAACGAGGTACCGCGGCCTCCGCCTAGAGCAGGAGGGGGCGTTTTTAGTCAGTAATAGTCTGACACTTCCAAACGGGACAAGGGCAGGAAGATGATGAGTCTGACACTTCCTCTTGCCCAAACCTGGGAGGGAGAAGTCATTTGATGATTTTTCCCTAACAAAAAATAAAGACATGTACGAAAACCCAGTTTGTACCGACATATGATTTTTTTTTTGAATAGGTTCGAAATCGTGATTTCTGTATATTATGTTCTTGGGTTCCATGCCCCTACCGGTTCATATTTTTAATTTACTACAGTCCCCGGTTACTGAGTATATTGTACAAAATATATTATTTTCCAGACTTAAGCGAAATAATTTGAATGCTATTCATATTAATTGTAAATTACATTAATATTGTGTAGTATATTTATTGTCAACTCGCGGGTACTGATTCAAATACAATTCTAGAGTTACTGGATTTTTCTAGGATATAGGATAACATTTTCCGAACATACGGCGAATTTTTTTCGTAAAATTTTTGTTTGATCAGTTTATATTCAGCCCTGGACTCAATTCCCAATTCTGAAAAAAAAAAACACATAAAAGGTTTATTTAGTCTTAGTTGCGTAATTTTTAGATCAATAGGTAACAATTCGCGGCTACTGAATACAAAGCACTGAGTTCAATTCCCATATAGAACAATATTTTAATTAAAGGTGACTAAACATTTTATTAATTTTGTTGATCTTCAACATAACGTAAAATATTTTTTATATTAATAAATAAAAAGGCCAAGGTAAAAATAAATTCGATACAAAAATCAAAATGGCTTGCGACGCAAATGTTGTTTAAGATATTTTTTTTGTTTTTCTGTCCCCTCACAGCCCTGGTGTCGCAATAGTAGTCTTTACCTTAATTTTTTACCTCGCGACACATGATTTACAACGTCCCGTTTTGTTTAGATTTACGTCAAAACTTTTGTCGGCTCGTGGAAGCGATAAGCACGATGTAGAGTCCTACTTGGACCCTGACATCTTTGCTCCCGATCCGGCAGACCTCAACGACGAACCTGATGAAGACAATGTCGATCAACTACTTCTCATGAAGTAAGTGGCCCACATAATGTAAGGTCTTACAAATAGTGTAAAATGTTTGAAGAGTTGCCACGTTAGACATTTTTAGGAAACCCCATAAAATTTACAAAATATTTGAGCACTCATTTTACATGAGAGCAATACTATTGACTACAATTTCTCTGAAACTCTTTAAAATATTTAGCATATTTTTGCAAGACCTTATTTATATTTTTGTTATTTGCTATTTTTCACTTAGGATATATACATTAATCTTTCCATAAAACCGAAATAAAAAAGGTTACGATTACTTAACTGAAAAAATTCTAAGTGAAAAATATCATAGCTTCGAGATGTTTTGTTTCACATTTTATGTTCTGTCATTATTATTTCAATCAAGGAATCGATCAGTCAGAACACATTTTGAACCATGTTTTTTTTTTTGTTCAGCCGTTCGACACCATTCATACATACAACACAGCAAATTAGTTCTTGTTCGAGCTACGAGACATTAAGGACTTTTGCTAACAGCTACGATTGGCCTTCCTGACAACCGACAGAGGACGTAAATTGTCCAGACTACTGTTTCAAAAGTTTCAACAGTGTAAAGTATGTTGGTCCCAGTGACTTTTTTTTACAAATAATCTATGCAAAAATCTAATGGCTGTGTAGTTTTATACACACGTCATTTGTTGTTTAACAAAAATCCTTACTAGTCTAATCAACAAGCGCTTTTTGAGTCTACTTTTTTAACAGTATCGATTTATTATAACAATGCCTATTCAAAGAAAAAATGTGTTTTCTCAATTTTTATATTTAAAATATTCAAATGTTTAGAGTTTGAAGTGGGCGCGGCTGGCGCTACTCTTGAATAGCTATTTTCGGACGTATTTTCACTCTTCTACGAAAACACTTGATAAATATTGTTGGTACAATTTATAAGAGAGATTTTTCTTTATATTCGTCCTTTTTATTTTCGTTTTTTTCAAGTATCACTTTGGTACTCTTATAGTAAGCAGCTTACAATTGAAAATATATCAGACACTGTTAAAATAAGTCGAACACAAAAGCTCTGGTTGTCTAGACTATATCAATAAATTCATTTCACATACATCGAAGATCAAACTGATATCTTTTTATCAAAGTATTATTAAATTAGTCGTTTCATATTTTCTTAGTAAGTATACAAAAGTGCCGAAAATGAAAAGATATCAGTATGAATTTTCACTGATTAAAACATAAGCAGGTTTTCTATTTAGTGCATTACGTTATTACAAGCAAGAAATTGTATGGTGGGTCGATGCAATTTGTATCGAAGCAAATGCTCATCTCTCTCTCTCTCTCTCTCTCTCTCTCTCTCTCTCTCTCTCTCTCTCTCTCTCTCTCTCTCTCTCTCTCTCTCTCTCTCTTCCTCTCTCTCTCTCTCTCTCTTCCTCTCTCTCTCTCTCTCTCTCTCTCTCTCTCTCTCTCTCTCTTCGCTCATGAATGCGGCGCATACGCATAACGAGAAGTAATAGACAAGAAAAAGTAGGCTATATAAAATATCTACTTTTAATGTTTTAAAAATATCTAAGTAGGTTCATTAAATGCCACAGAGAAATTTCTATGATAGACATTTTTGTAAAATAAAATTAACTGAGGAGAAAAAAAAAAACAGTTCTAAAATATACTTAGGTGGTGCAGTAGGTATTAGGTTGTGTGAATGTTTCAACATTCCAAACAAATCGAATCTTATGGTATGGTAACTGCATTTATATCCAATCGAAGCTATGGTTAAATTGCAATCGCGATATACTTCGCGATAGCGGGAGTGGATAACTTCAAAAAAGATAGATATCTAAGGCTGTACAAATAAATGACGATTAGGTTACATAGACTTGCTTACAAGTAACTTTTTACATACCTAGTACAATTATTATTTGGGAAAACAAGCTATTTATTCCCTAAGGCAATAATCAGATTCGGTCTATGTGCCTAAAAGATGTACAAGCTGTGGAACTTCTACAACAAATAATAAAATAACTTACTCCGATCTACATTCATAAAATCTCTGATGTGTAGCCGTTTACAATAGTAAAGATTAGTTTCAAAACTAATCTGTTTAAATAAATCGAGTACTTACCGTTCGCATAGTGTATCAGAGAATCAGGCGCTAAGTATCGATTAATTTAAAGTCTTGATCGATAAATAAATTAATTCCCAATTTGCAATAGCTTATTAACAGCTTTAAACTGGTAGGTAAAAATGATGTAGGTATTAATGATGATATCGATAGCGTAGAATTCACACGTAGTTTGACGTCGACACGGTGGCATAATGACAAGTAGTAGACACATCCGCCACTCGATATATTGCTCAGAAATGCACAGCAATGCACAAGGATAATTCAGGGTATACAATTACTAATGCCATGGGAATTTCACAAAGAAATTTTAGGCAACTGAAAGTAAAAGTATTTATTAAATAATTTTAAAAGTAACAATATAATTGGAACATGTCAAATTGTAACCAGATTTAAAGATTTCTTTGTTTTTAGATTCAACTTGAAATTCCATTTTATACCAAAAGTTTTCGCTTAACGTAAAAAATGTACAATCTAGTGACAAAAACTAAAAGTTAGGTCACTGATAATCACTCATAGACCTGTTTTTTTTTCATATTGTCGTCATGGTGTTCCAATGAAAATAAGCAATAGAGATAAAATACAGCTCGTGAATACGTAAGTGCCAACTCACGCGAAAACGCTTATGTTTTTACCCTCGTCGGAAACAATGTGTGCATGTAATCACTGTAGCACACATCGGGCTACGGCGTAGCTCGTAGCTCGTAGCGAAGTGGTGTCGCTCGTCGCACCCTTCATAATTCATACAGTTGCACTCACGCCAGCGTAGTTTACCCCGGCTTAGTTACGCTCACTTAGTGCAAACAAGAACTGTAATGCTACGTAAAGTTTTTGATATCGCGCTATTAAACATAATTCGGTACTGATATTTAAATGAGCTATTTCCTAATTCACACGGCGAAACACAACTCTTTCGCCGTTTGAGTGAGGTTACCGCGGAGGTCCAATCCTTCCTCTCCCCTTATCTCTAAATCACCCAAACCCTGATCTTTTCCGTAGTAAGGGGTGTCCATGGGCACCTCTGATTTCTTACCATTAGGTAATAGAGAGACTCGTTTGCCGACCTATCACGTAATTTATTTTTTTTGTGTGACGGGTCGGCAAACTATCTAACGGATTACCTGATGGTAAGCAATCAGCGTCGCTCATGGACACCCGCACGACGGAGGAATTATAAGTGCGTTGTCGACCTTTTGGGGATTAGAGATTTTGGGAAAGGGAACGTATTGGGGTAGGGGAAGTATTCGGCCTCTGGTAGCCTCACTCACACGGCGAAACACAACTCTTTGGTTATTTCACGCCGGTTTTCTGTGAGGTCGTGGTATCACTCCGGTCGAGCCGACCCATTCGTGCCGAATCATGGCTCTCCCACACTTATTAAAGTGGTATTAAAGTTTAGTTACGACCAAATTGTCAGGATGTTTTAAGATTTAATATGCAGTTTCATGTAGAGTATGTTATGAATTTTCCCCATACCACCGCCGTGGGAAATGGTCAGTATCGACCTGTAGATTTAATTATTCATATCCCACGCTTTATCGGTAGCTTTTGCTTTATTTTCTTGTGGAATATTTCGTGTTATAGGTTAGGTTTCATCTGATATGTACCGAACTATCGAACAATGCTTAAATTAGCGATTGGGGAGATATTTAATCATCGAATAACTTCATTAGTAAATAATTATTATTTGAGTTTAACTGCACCAAGCTCTTGCTATAATGTAATAAATGCATTACTTAGAAAACCTGCTGCGTACTTGTCATTTTTTAATTTTATTTTGATCATTACATTGATACGGTCTCAATTACGTGTGTTTTTTATATTTAAGTGTTAAACATTTTAGTTAAATATGACTTGTTCTTTTTAAAACAGTATAAAATTAAGTTCAACCATAAATTGTCCACGTTTCGGTCCGGTATATTCATCACAAAACTGATGTTCGGGATTTGGTTCGGGAGTTTGCCCATTAGTGCAGAAAATGTGACATTGACATGGCAACACGAATTGGAAATAAGGCATCTACGATCTCGCTACTTAGCAGCGGGAACAATTTTTAGCAATTCAATCTCTATTTCGATATTTGATACTATTTGATTTCGATTTGCTTTTCGAACTTAATCAAATTTTGGCTATTTTAATACCTCAGGAACTTTAATTTAGTCGCGTTTACAAATAAAGGTATTGTTAAAGTTAACAAATGCAGCTTTTAAGAATAGTAGGAAATAGGCCTAAACACAGGATGTAAAGAAAACAAGCTACAAGCGCTACTACGTGACGGCTACGAAAAGCGTAGCGCCATCGACATGCTACGCCCCGCGTAGGTATACCGATAGTAGTCTAAGTTTAAGAAAGTTATAAGGGGCCATCATAGATCCTTTCATTTTATGATGTTAAAATATAAAGATTACAACACTTATTCATTACTTGGCAGTAAACCGTATTGACCTTTAATGGTTTTGGTAAAACATCGGTTATAAGTATAACAAACATTGAAAAAAAAACCTGATCGAAGATTTTGCTTCTATTCGATATTTATCTTTTTTTCCAAATTTGCGTCTGTGGTAATAATTAATTGACTGATATTGTAGGGTTAACAGTACCTGTTGTAAATGTAATATGTACAAACATTTCTCTTGAAGACAGTTAATCAAATATAACGTTAAATCTACATTTATTAAAGGGTTGGCAATGCAATAACCATTTTTCTATGAGATTTGTGGTTTACTCATGTTATTTTGACTGATTTTGTCAAGCCACGCCTGAGGCTCATAAATCATTAGCAACATGAGCGACAACCAGATTGTTGACTTACTGTTATATAACGATGTCTCTGACTGACATTTTTTTCAATTACTCTATAAATACAAAAACAATAACAACCGGTTTTCGAAAGGCCGATCAATGTTAAAAT